CTGGCTGGGCAAGCTGACGGAGCTGGCTATGTCATGAGGCCCCGGGGGCCAGAGCGCCACAGGCCCGGGCGGGCCACACGGCTCCTGGGGCCCTGCTTCCAGGCCTGCACGCTGCCCTGGAGATGGGAGCACCTCTGCTATGCCCTGTCCCTGCGCCAGCGAGGTGCAGGGCTGGGCGTCGAGTCCTGTCTGATCACACAGGAAGAAAACCCCCAAGAGAAAAGCCGTTGGTTGTTCTAGATCCTGTCCCTTCCCTCCCCTGCTGTGTCCCGCAGATTCCCCAGTGACCTAACCGAGGACAGCGGCTGGGGGATCTGGTGAGCCTCGGGGGGTGAGCCAAGGGTACCTTTTTCTTGAATCAAACTGCACACTGCCGGCTGGCTGCCAGACTCCTGCCGCCCTGCCCTGATCTCTCCCTTTGACCAGACCACACTGGACTGAACCCGAGGAGATCATCTCGCTTTCTTACTAACCACCGACGGTTTACGCTTCCCCCCTCCCTGCCCCCAGCCCACCGATTCTTCTTTTATTTATTTTATTAGCTGTTAGTTTTATTTTTTTATTTTATTTTTTTATCTTTTTTTGGGGCTACCCCTTCTTTTTGTTGTTTGCTCTTTCCTGAGCTAGTAGACATATTTTATGAATTGGCTTTGTGATTGTGTTAGGTAGTTTTTATTGAGGAGTATTTTTATTTGGCTTTGAAACTGTTTTGAATATTTTCAACTCTGTTGTTGTTGTCGTCAGTGTTTTTAAAGCACGGTATGTAACAAGAAGGCAGTTCTGAAGGGAAGAAGGAGACACGGAGAGAGCGAAGGCTGAGAGGAACTGATGTACTTCTATTTTTTTTAAAGAAACTGTTTTTAATTGTTTCTGTTTTGTAAATGTGAGGCTTTGAAAAGTGTGAAACTCCAAGGATCCTAAAAAGTTGGACATCGCTATGGAACAAGACAAATGTATATTTTGCTAAGTGAAAAACACTATCCGTACAGCTGAAAGATTTTTTTTTTTTCCTTAGGTTTAGTTTTACGTGGGGTTTTCTTTTTCCTCCTGTATAATATGTAAATATCGCGAGCTGAACCTGGCTGCTGCCTGCAGCCTGGCTCCAAGGAGCAGCTCCAGGTCCTGGACTTGGTGCCGCAGCGTGAGCAATACTCTCCAGCAGAATCCTGACAGGACACCGTTCTTTTTTTGTACACCTTTTACTGTAAGATTTTAAGACCTCTGATGAGATGAAAGGGGCGCGGGGGGGTGGGGGTGAAACGTAGGCGCGATCGCTGAGCGGGTTAAAGCTGCTTCCACTTGCTCGATGTACAGACTCCATCACTGGGCTCCGTAGTGCCAGCCTCGGGTTGGGCTTTAGGTAAAGGGCTTTACCGCCGTTGCTTGTCTTGGTTACTTTGAAAGGAATTCACTCTCCAAACTCTATCGCTTGCGTCAAGATTTCCTGGGAAAGGGGATCCTCCTTTGGAGGCGAGGGTATCGGAAGGGGTGTCTGCCAGGGCCAGGGGGAGATGTGGGTGGTCATTCTCTGAAGGGCAGGGCACTGGGCTGGGGGGTCGTTAACGGGGGAGAAAAGCATTAGGGTGGTGATTTGGGGGCGGGTTAAGGGCTTCTCAGGGATTATATGAATTATAGAATTGCAGCTTCCCGTTTGCTTTACTCTGTGTTCTGAAGACTGTGGGAATTTGTCCGTTGTCCTGTGTGGGGGTGATCTGGTCCCCTCTCCAGAACCTGCTGGGGCTTCCCCTGGCACGTTCCAGGCCCCTGCTAATGAGCACTCTGCCAGGGGAAGCCTCCAGCAGGAGTACACAGGGCAGGTTTGGGTCTGGATTTCAGTGAACCAAAGACCTTGTTAAGGGGGGTGATTAAGCCTTTTATTAAGATGCAGCCAAAACTCTTTTCCCAGGGAAATAACAGCTTCATCTTAAGTTTTAAAAATCATTCCCTCTCTTCCCCCACACTGAGCCCGGGGCGTTTAGTTAAGGACTGGGAGGGCCACAGTGCCCACAGGGCCCTTTTGCTCTTCCATCCCTCCCCCGTCTGCAAGAGCTTGTCCTGACCTGGGCGACGCGTTTGGAGAGTTCTGTTTAGGTAAGAGGGTACTTAACAGATCAGTACTGAAAACACAAAGCAATAATTTTTGTTACTGAGACAAGAGTCTGTATGTCTGTTTTTTTAAATATTTCCTAATTAAAGAAGAGCTGCATTTTATTGGGTTTATTTTTATTCTATATACTTCAAATTTGGGTCTGCAGACAGCGCTTTCCTCCCTCTTGGTATATGCGCTGAACTGCTTCCGTGCCCCCTCCAGACATCCAAGGCCAGCTGTGCTGCTGCTGGGCTGGGATTCACTTGGGCCAGTGCTGCCACTGCCTGGAGGCTGGGGCTCCGGTTTCAGGGTGGGCATTTTTTTTAAAAGAAATAAAGCTGTGTTTTTAAGCCAGTAAGTTATTACACTCCAATGTTTGTTCTCTCCACACCTGTAACCCTTTTTCCAGATTTCAGTTTTAAATTCCTAATAAATTATTTGAAAACTGTCCTTCTCTGTCATTATTTGGAGGTGGGAGATTTTCAGATGGAGATTTCAGGTGAACTTGGACCTGGCAGGATCCATGTCCTGCCATTAGGACAAAAGCCCCAGGAAGGGCTCTGACTCGGTGTTCTGCTCCCGGACTTTGGCCGTGGCCCAGTTTATAATGTGAGGCAGATCTGGTTTTAATAGAGATTGTGTTTCTATGTTACAGAGGTTACGTACAGATATTTGTAGGTTCAAGAGAGGAGGAGATAGTGTGGTGCTTAGAAGTTTGGCTCAAGTGCTCTGGATTCAATGACTGTGGTGGACCAAGGAGGCTAGATCTAAGTAAAATGTGGAGAATGGAATGGAAGAAAAGTCCTTCAGCAAATGCTACTATAAAAGAAAGGTGAGATTTAACAGTGTGAAACAGCAGGGAACACTATGCAGCAGATCTTGATTACACAGAAGCCTTAAAAATAATTTAACACTCAAGCTTATAAGTTCAGGAACCACTTTTAAGTTGGGATGTCCTCACCAGCAGCTTTATATGCAGCACAGGTTGGGGGAAACCAAAAATAGCATTGGTGGAAAAATCTTTATCCTGCTGGGATTTTTCTCATGAGACTCTTGCGATGCTCACATGCTCACTTTCCCACACTTGGTGACCCTCTTGTTGAATTAAAATGTATGAAATGCAAGATAGGATAGTGTTTTTGATTTGTGACTTAAAAAGGCCATTTTATTGGAAGTTTTCTTGGCAACATCAATAATAAATCAGACATTGAGATGTAAGGAAAAAGGAACCACAAGAGTCTTAAGGTTCACAAGTAAGAGGACAGAAATAATTTTTAAAAGAGTAAAGGTGGACAAAGTAGTGAAAGAGGAAGAGAACACTTAGATGGGAACTGAAGGGAAAGGCAGGAGATTGATTTGTGAGCAATAGATTAAATCCTTTACTCTGAACTAATTGGTACAGGCTGTCCTTTACATCGTCCTTTAATGTTAGTTCAGTGTTCTCACTATTAGGACACGAGAATCTTGAATCTGAAAGTTGGCATCTGTTTGGCTTTATCTTGGCCGTGAGTGGGCAGTCCCAGAGAATCAGCTTGTGAGAGATCAGGAAAGTCAGAATGGTTCTGGTTGCTCACTAGCGTGTCTACCTTTAACTAGATGTCCTATGAATATGTCAACAGCCTATGCATTGTGTGGGCACCCTGGGAGCTTCAGACCCTAGGAGGAGCAAGAGGTGCTCATAATCCCTTATAGAAACATGCATTTGGGTCTACTGAAGGGTGCTCAACCTGAGTTTCCTGAACAAGCAATATTCTGGTATATTAGGCTGTTGTGGAAAGGGGCTTTGCCCCTTCCTCTGCTCTCAAAAACTGAAGGTTTGCTTGGTGCTTTAGAAATAAATACAGACTCTTGACTATCAAAAACTGAGCAGTCTAGGATCTGTCATGAATGTGTAAAAATGCCAGACCTGTAGCCCTGACAGTGTTAGAGCCTCTGGGGTCTGTATACAAGAGCAGTATTTTGGATTTAACCCTGACTGACCTCAGGAAGCTTTTTCTTACCTGTTTTTTATCTTATTTCAAGGTTTCCAACTCACCTTATACCATGGCATAGAGAACCTAAGGGCCTACCTTGGTTCTGCTTTGGTACTGGAGAAAGGGAAACTGGTATCTCTGAGCTACTGGGGTCTGTGTGAAACTTCTAAACCAACTTAATTTCTCGTGTAAGTCCCTTAAGGTCATGTGAAAACAGACACCATTCCTTGTTTAAGCCAGATATGGAGGCTTTCCAGGTTGCTTGGCTCCTGGTTCTTGCTTAGTAGTACCACCTTCTTGATGGTTTCAGATTAAAAATCAAGTAGATTTTTTTTTTCAGTTCAGCCTATGCCAAAATGTTATTTGGGGTGAGTGGACGACCTGTACTGTATTCTTTGAATTAGGCCAGGAGAATCCATGGAGAGATACAGGATTAATGGTAAGTGGAATACCATAAAAGGAGGATGCCAGTATTAGTAGGAAAGGTATTGGTGTGACAGCAGTTTCCAATAAAACTACCACACTACTACTATTTTTTAGCAGAGAACCTATTATAAAAATGTCCAGATTTTTCAGCCAGGCTTCGAAGAATAGCATTAAAATAATATAATAGCAAAAATCTAAAGAGTAAATGTTTGTCTTCCCAGCTTTCATAGATTTAACTCCACTGACCTTCACCTGGTCTTGTCACAACCTGCTGCCCACAGCCTCCAATGGAAGAAGTCTGCATTTAGTAACGTAAATATTGGCTTGTTTGTCTCATACCCGTGTCAAGGTGAGCTTCTTGTATAAAGAGCCACACTTTCCTTAGCAGCAGTCTCTCTGTCAAGATCTCCAAAAATGAAGTCCCTGGC